TCTTTTTTATTCTTTTGTGAAGGTTTGGAAAGGAATCACTGTGCCCAAAAAGCTACAAATCAATAGCATTGTAACCAAATACAGATAGACATTGTGGGCCCCACTTGAGAATACTCAACCCAAAAAATAAAAAATAAAAAAAAAATTCTTGGGATGTAAACAGAACATGAGACTGAAAAAAGAGCATCAAATTTTGCCTATGTTACCAGCCCTGCAGCTACTATTCCTCCATCCCCATTCTCCATAACCTTTTTAAAAGTCATGTCAATACCAAATATATGCCTTGAACAATTTATTTTATTTATGTGAAATAAAATAAAGCAAAAAAAAGAAAAAAATGAATGAATAATCTGAAAAATCCACTTCCAAGATTAAATTTTTCCTTTTTATTATACTTTCCCATAATTTTTCTATACAACTTTTTTTGAAATTAGATCATCTTCAATGCTTTAAGTCTAATTTTCAAATGTTTATCGTAAAAATGCACATTAGTGTTGGTATATGATGTGTTATCAAGCGGATCAATTCGATCATATTTTAAAAGAATTAATACTTTTACTACATTATATTTCAATTCGTTTTATTTTTATACCATAAAATTTTATAATATAAAAACATATATTGATATAACGGTTAGACAGATCGAAAATAAGGAAAATACTACAATTCCGTCACGGAATGATTCCATGAGTGTTTTTAACCATTAGATAAACATGTAATTTCCATGTATCTAGATATCTAATGGCTAAAAACTCTCACAGAATTATTCCTTGACGGGATTGTACCTTTTCCCCGAAAATAAAAATAACTATCATCTCATGATAGATTTAAACACAACTCCACCTATTTTTTTTTTACCCTCTATCAAATAACTCTTGTTATTTTTGGATGTTGTTAAACCTCCACATTATCTTGCACTTTTAGAAGCCCTTTATTATATGCTTTCAAACTAGGGAGAGAGACCCAAAAGGTACTAGTGACAAATAGCATTATACTTCCTTTCTTCACCACACTCCACACTACTCTTTTCTACTTCAAATTTTCCATTCTCAAAAGCTTCTTACTTTGAGAAAAGAATCACAAAGATAAATCAAAGAGGGAAAGAGAAGAAACCTGGACAAAATAAAAATTCAGTCTTTATCAAATCCCAACAAATCCCTTCTCTTTAACCATCATTTTCTTGGGATAGCTCAAGATTATCCCTAAAACCAAACAACATTCATCCAACCTTTAAATCTTCAACAAGAAGCTGTAAAAAAAAAAAAAAAAAGCTTCCTTTTTTATCCCTCCTGTTCGAAGATTTCTACTTTAATTGAACCCACAAATTAATTTTATCCCTCTTTTATCTTGTGTGGGATAACTCAAGAATATCCCTAAAACCAAACAGCACCCAAGATCAATCATCAACAAGAAGCTGGAAAAAAGCAGCCTTTCTGATCTATTCTGTTCAAAGATTCCACCTTTAATCGAACCCACAAATTAATTCAGCCAAAAAGAAAAAAAGAGGGAAAAATTCTACACTTCCACTCCATTAATGGACCCTTTACAGCAGCAGCAGCAGCCACCGCCGGTGGAGGTGGCCCAACAGGCCTACCGGGCCCATACGGCCCACGGGTCGGTCGGCCCCGTTATCGGGGTCCTGGCTCTGGTCCTGATGCTTGGGGCCGTTGCCGTGATGGTCGGGCGGCTCTGTTCGGGTCGGGGCATAAGGGGCCACGCAAAGTACGATTTCGAAGGCTGGGTCGAGACCAAGTGCGCCTCCTGCATCGACGGGCGGGTCGACCCGATTCCGCCGCCGAGTCGGGTAGTAGTGGAGCACCGGGTCGGAAGGGCCTCCGGCGATGGCGGGGAAAGGGCGCCGCCGCCGCCGGAGGAGAGGGGCGCCGGGGAGGAGGGCGGTGAAAGCCGGCGTCAGCACGAGTAGAGGTGGCGATCCGATTGTTTTTTTTTTTAACTGTAAAATGTTATTTTTGATTATTTTCAGGGGTATTTTAATTGATTTTGATTATTTTTAAAAAAATTGAAATTGGTGATTTTGAGTTATATGAGTTTATGGGTTTGTGTTTATTTATTTTAATTATTTGGTATTATTTATTTCGTATTATTATTCAAAGAAAGAGGACATATGGTGTCTATTGGCAATCATGTATTCATCTTATAAAGATAGCTATTTACTTGGATTTATTTTTGGATAAATGTAGCAACTATCATGAATAAATACTTTGATGATTTTCTTCAGAGAGCAACACAAATTTACTCACAAATGAATGGCCATATTTTGGTGTTAAATTATTTAATAATACTTGTTTCTATTAATGGTGGATGTACAAAAATTAGGACTTTTGAAAGGTTGATAAGTGTAGGTTGTAATGAAAAAAAAATTGTAAAAGATGGAGTAGCATATATACTATGAGAATATTTTTTAAAACGGTTAAGTTTGAGGAAAGTACTGTGGTCCCGTTACGAAACTATTCCGTCGGAATTTGTAACCGTTAGATCATCATGTAATCGTCGGGGATAGTTGATAACAATTACGAACTCCGAAATAACGGTTCCTTAACGGGACTGTAGCATCTCCCTAAAGTTTGATATGTAAGTTGGTTTTTAGATTGGAGATGATTTCTAGATAGTAAATTCAAGTAAGTAATTTGGAAAAGGAAAAAAAAAAAAAAAGAAGGAATTATGAGGAGAAGAAATCTGACTGTTTAACTATGTCTTAAAGTTGTAATAATTGAGGACAACTATGGGAATTGAATGCAAAGATACTGTGTTATTTAGGGTTCCAACATTAATAACAGTTCCAACATTAAATTTCAAGGTGGTGGTTTTTTTGGGACTAGGATACTCTAGTTAGCCCTTACTCCATTATCATTGGTCCAAATTCTGGAGAAAAGAGGCAACTTATTGAAAAAATTGATCTACCCATGGGGCAATGCTCCATGGGTTTTAATCATTGACATACACATAAACACACACATCTACATGTGGTTGAAATTAATGGTTAAAACTTCAAAAGGGCAGTGCCAATTTAGAATATAAAAAATAAGGGTTCTTTCTCTCCTCCAGTAAAAATCCCCAAATCTCCTTTCGGTAAACCTACTCTTGCCCTTTTCGTTGGCGCCTCCCCTCAGTAGGGCTCTACGCGCTACTGCGGTGTCGATCCCCTCCCTTCGTAGTGTTTCGCCACTCGATCAACTATGGTTGGGTTTGGAGTGAGTTTTCTGCGTCTCTTCGACAAGGCTGAGTTGTTGGCTCTGATCGTCATTTTGTGGTGGTCGAGGCTGATATCAGAGTCCTTTTCTCCACCGTTTTTCTTTCTTCCACGATGATGGGCTGTGGGGATGCGCCGACAGGGTTGTGCTGTGACTCAGTTCGTGTGTTGGGCCTGGGTCGTCGGTGATGTTGAGGGTTGGAGTTAGGTAAGGACCTCTGGTTGTTGGTCTGGGGGTAGTCCACTTAGGTGAGGGGTAGGGTCCGTTAGTTCAGATCTAGTTAGGTGTAGATGTACTGCAGTTTCTGGATTTGCGACTTGGGCCGTGTCTCTGCCCGTGGGGGTGGTCGCCCTCGGGTGTCATTGTTGTGTCTTAGTTCGGAATGACTTGCCTGCTCTGGAAAAAGTATTATTTTAGTATATAGTGTTTTTAGTTTTTGTTTGTCTAGGTGTTTGGTGTATTATTCTCCTATTTAGAAAACAATATTTCCACTTGTGGGAGCTTGGATTACTACTTTTGTATGTGTTTTTAGTTTGGTTGTTTCTAAGCTACGGTCATTTTCATCTTGTAGGCCTCTCGATGAATTCAAATGTATAGCTGTTTTAGTTGGCTAGTTAGCCGTTCGCAAATATATGTTTTATTAATAATATCTGTTGTTATGATAAAAAAAATAATAATTATAATATCATAATACTTTTGTTACAAATTTAGTCATGTATCATATTGATGGACCCAATTTTTATATATTAGTGAGAAAATGAATGGAAATAATCATAACAATTCCCATTCAAAGATAGATTCTCTATTTGTGTCTACAGTTGATTTAAATGTAGACCGATCATCTTTTTCTTACTACTATAGTAGCTGGATTTAGTCCACTTTCACTAGACTTGGAGAATACTTTTTTCTATACTCGATTTATTTCTTTCGTACATGGCCTTATTCATCTTGATTCTTAAAATGACAAATACTGAAATAAAAAAACTTTGTATGCCAAATAAAGCAAAGCAAAAAGAATACATAGATTTTTTCCCTCTCCCTCATTTTTGTTTTACCAACACTTTGCTATGGCAGACTTCCTCGTGCCCGGGCCCACGGGCCCCCGGCAGCTCTTCGACTTTGGCTGCATGTTGTGAGCCCTATGCAACCGGGCTCTTGAGGAAGTCGAATATGAATTGGGAGTATGATTTTGTAGTTCTCGGTTTGATCGAAAATTTTTGAGTTTGTCGTTATTAACATGCAACATACTCATAATGTAACAGCCATATACTATATTATGGTGAAGGATTCATAAAATTATAACCTTAATTTCTTTAAAAAAAAAATTATACTAGCCATTAATCAATATATTAAATATAAAATGCATGCTGGAATAAAATGTGTGACATTTTTTTGGGGCAATCATGGCACGTGACACGCACGGGAGCTGAACACAGAGATTCCCTCTGGTTTTGGTCCGACTTTGACCATGTGAGTTTTGCAGTCTTTTGTCGGATGATTTTATAAAATCAGCTATCAATGCCCATAGGTCTAAAACCGTCAGATCACACTAAAACCCATTCCAAAATAAATCGAATGGTTTTTAATTGGAATTTGATTATATTACAGTTAAATCAGAGAAACATTTGTGTTGTTAAGCTTCTTGTATAAACATTGTTGCACGAAGAAATAATAATCAAGGGCATTAAAAAAAAAAAAAAACGAACGGTACATGTTTTGAATTTGCTAAAACAAAACGTGGTCGATTATATTACCAGCAGGAAGTCGAGCGCCAAAAAAAAATCATGCTCACGAGTTGTAATTGTCGACACCCAAATCCCGGAGTGCATCAGTGGCCGCATCTTTGCAGCTCCTGTGGCTCTGCTTTGCCTTTCGAATAAGTCCCTCGATGCCATTACCGAGCAAGAGCTTCCTATTGTACCATAGGCTCATTATTACTATAAATGTAGAGAAGAAAATTTTGATAGTGAACTTGGAGGAATTAAAGTAGAGTTCTTTCTCGAACACATTTTACGTTTACCTGTTTTCTCGATTTCTAACAACGAGATTCCTTATCATGAAACAAGAGTTCCTTTGGAGTTGGTCCGAATCCGGAAACTTCTGCATTGCTTGAATAGCAAGGTCCCCAGCTCCAGATTCAATGGCACGGGCGGCATTCTCCGGGGATCTTAGACATAGAGTGCATACGATGGACATGATCTGGGCCAACCAAAGACAGTTATCAGCAAAATGCATAATTTTAGAGTATATAAATCTGATCATCTGATACACACGGGGTGATTGGTTATTAATTTGATTGGTTTTTATTTTATTTTTTGTTAACCATCGTTGTTTGAAAAAAGTGGTATGATTAGTTGTTAGGCCATCTCCAACCGAATACCCTATACTCAAACCCATTTTGCAGTACATATCCCATTTTGCAGTAATTCATCTCCAACCGAAAAACCCATTATCCAACCCAAAAGAATATTTTCGGAATATTCTCTTCTACATCAACTTTTACAATTTTTTAATACTACCCACATATTTTACAACTTTACAAATTAAACCACACTATTATTTTCAATTCAATTTGAACTGTATGTAATAAACTAATTATAAAGTTATAATCATATACATGATAAATTATATGTTGTTATAATCATAATCATATTTTACAACCCAATGTTGTTGTTATTTAATGTTAGTGTTTTATTTGGGTTGTTGTTATTTAATGTTAGTGTTTTATTTTCTTGTTAAATAAAAATACCATAAATTATATGTATATTTTATATTATTATTGTGAAATATATAGAATCAAATGAAAAATATAATATTTATTATTTTAAAAATTATACTATTTAATTTTTATGAGATAAAGGATTTTTTAGTATTTTACATTAATATTACTATTTTGATAAATATATATAATTAACATTCATTAATTTAATCATCCATATAAGGATTTATTTTAAGTGCAAAAACAAAAAGAACAAAATAAGATTAACATAAAGAAAAGGACTAAAATGCAAAAAAAAAAAAAAAGAGAACGCATATTTTGCGTCCAGACGCAAATTTGCGTCTTGGAGGAGGAGAGAGAAGGCAAAAACGCAAATTGTCGCTGCGTTTGCCGTTCGGTTGGAGGAGATTTCACTGCAAAAATTGAGTTTTCCCGTTCGGTTGGAGAAGGTCTTAGTAGGATTTTAAGTTTATATTAAAATAATATTTAAAATAAAATAATTAGAGTTGATTTAACGTAAAAGTATAAGAGAGATGATATGAGGTGATGATTAGTTAAAATTATGTAAGTGGATGAATAGTAAGTCAAAGTTGATGTGATGTGTAAGAATGATTGATTGATATAATTTAATTATATTGATAACTAGTATCGTGGCCCGTGCAAATGCACGGAACTATT